TATTTGAGCGCTACAAGATCGCAAGTCTCCATTTCTCCGTGGAAAAGGGCTCAACTTAATGAGCAATGGTGTGGCTGTTGGGACCCTTCGCGATCTTGAACTCTACCTCCTTGTTTCGTTCTACAGGTGGTCTGAGATCGACATGGAAAAGTTTATTCTAGGTGGATATGGCAGAAAAAGAGGGCACAATACGATGTGGTAAGAGGGTACGATGACGTGCGAAAATCGCAAATGGTATCAATGTAACGTAATTTCGGCGGTGAATCACTTAGGGTTTGAGGCACTTTTGAACGACTGAGTAGCTGAGGCTCCCTTTTGTTTAAGTTCACAAAGATTCCACAGGGTATCGTGAAACTCTTTCGAATCGAGTCTTACCTTTTTTTCAACAAGGATCCCCTCTATCATTGATTTTCGCACACGATAACGCGGCTGTCCAGGCCGTTTCCTCCGCGCCAGATGGAATTGCAGGAAAAAATGTGGCAGGTATCTTGTTGGCACCCTGTTTTTTGTATTAGATTCGCAAGTAGAGGATCATTGGGCCCCAATTGTTATAAAGTTCCACAGCAAAGTAAAGCAAAATGGAACAGCCGAAAAGCTGAAAAGGTCGATCATGGGCGCCCAGACGAATTTCGATCCTACTGTAATAACTAATTCGGCTACCAGCATTTCAAAACGTATTATTGTGTTCCTTATGATTATTGGGGGGTCATCTCAGTATTGAAAATTCCTGACGTGTTTTCGTTATAGTAAAATCTCTCGACAAGTGATGTGTAGTCATATTTGCGAAACGGTGAAAATACGTTTTAAGGAGGATCCTACTTACTATAAAGCGCTTCGTCTGTCGTTGTCTGTCTGTCGTTCTGTATGTCTGTCACGAAATTCCCTAGCTCCTCGCGATCCGCCTGGAGGGACAAGGTTAAGTGTGGGATGGGTGGGCAGGGTCTCACGTAATACAAAACACACATCAGCTAAGCGGAGCCCCGCCACAGAGGCGTGGCGTGCGTCGAAATGAATTGTACCAAGGCCAAGATTTCGATTTCAGTGAAAACGCCTCGAAACTGGGCCAAAAAGGTGGGCTAAGGTGTGCATTGGTAAGTAACATCGAATTAGGAGGACCCACCCCCGGTGGGCGGGAGCGTTCTCTAAAAAAGCAGTGCTTTATGAAAAATTTCATAACTTCCGTGGGGAGGAAGCCTAAGAGCAGAAACAATTCGGTGTAAGGGAGCAATGTCTAAAGTGTTTTCCGCATACATGACGTGGGCGGAGGCCTGCCCAGAATGGGCGGGGCGCGCTCTGAGTGTACAGCATTTTCTACAAGCCCTCATAATTTCGGGTCGGGAAGTCCTAAGAGCCTGAAAAAGGTGGATAGAGGTGTATGGTGGAGTTGGAGCAGCTATCAATGTGTGGGGGGGCATGGACCAAAGTGGGCGGAGTTTTGCGAGCGAAAATTCATAAACTCGGCCTCCATGAAGCTCGGAGGCGGGGAAAAGTGTGGATAGAGGTGGGTGGAGGAGTGAAGCCAGCTGTCAATGGTGGGCGGGGACATGACCAAAGTGGGCGGAGTTTGCGACGAAAATTCATAACTCGGCTCCAAGAACTCAGGAGGCTGGGAAAAAGGTGGAGCAAGAGTTGGGTTGGGGAAAGTGGAGGTCAACGGCCAATGGTAGGCGGGGGCTTGGCCAAAGTGGGGCGGAGGTTGCGACGAAAAAATTCATGACTTTGGCTCCAAGAAGTGCCCTGAGCCGCGGAATAGTGTGGGATGGAGGTGTGATGGAGGAGTGAAGGCCAGCTGTCAATGTGTGGGCGGGACATGACCAAGTGGCGCGCGAGTTGTGCGACGAAAATTCATAATCGGCTTCAAGAAGTCCAGGAGGCTGGGAAAAAGGGAGTAGAGGTCGGCGAAGGAAAGGAGGTCAAATGCTATTAGTGGGTAGAGCACACACCTAAGTGGCGCGGAGTTTGCCAAAGTATTTCGCAATTCGGTTGCAAGAGGTCTAGAGATAGGGGAAAACGGGGGTTAGGAGGTCGCGCGAAAAGAAGGGCAGCAAATGTATTGGTCGGCAGGGCACGCACCGAAGTAGAAGGAGTTACGCCACGAGATTATTGTCCGGGCAGGGACCGAGAAAAAGGATAATGGTTGACGAAGAAGAGCCGCATAGAATTTAGCGAGAGAATTCAGATATTCGTATTGTATTCAAAGCCAAATTTGAAATTTTTCGTCGCACCATCAAAATTCGCCACAGATCTGTGTTGCGCGCGCAATGCGCGGCCGCAACTGGTAGGATAATGTGTTGACGAAGAGAGAGCGGATAGAATATGAGCGGAGAATTCAGATATTCGGTTATTGTATCAAGCCAAATTTTGAAAATTTTCGATCGCACCCATCAAAATTCGCCAAGATTCTGTGTGCGCGCGCAATGCGTGCGGCGCCAACTGGTATTTTAATAATTCTGAATCGAGATTTCTCCAGAAATCAATTATCGAGTTTTTTCGTTATGGGGAAACTATTGGTAATAGCGGCATTTTCCAAAAATGCACAACAACTCTGGAAAAGTAAAAAATTAGGGTGGACCTATATTTATGAAACGCAGTGTATGTTAGTGGGTGAATATCAGCTGGATACAAGTTACTCTGGTTGGTAATAATTTATGTAACCTCATCTTTGAGCTTTGCTCACAAGTGCTCATGGTTCCCAATAGATCAGGGTACATCGGAGAGAGCTTGCAACTATCTCAAGTGAGGATGTTCCCTGTCTGCCCATAGCGGAATAGGTGAGCTCGGGTGTCCCCATGAGGCCCGTCGCGCGGCGAAGGAAGAGACATAGATGCGGCAAAGGACGAGTCGCAGCGCATACTGTAGCGGTTAGGCGTCAGGTTGGAGTGTACCATACTACGTCTCATGCGCTGCGACTGGTCCTTTGCCGCATCTGCATCTCTTCCTTCACCGGGCCCCTTGGGGGACACCCGGTGAACTCTGGACTGTAACAGATGGTGTATATTGATGTTAAAGGCAAAGGCAGGATAAAATGTGTGTAAAAGCGTTCATGAAGCTGGAGGTGGGAGTTTTGGTCTGGGGAAGAGAAGGAAAGCAGACGAAGGCCCAATTACGTCTCCAGTCGCATTCCACCTCGGGATAGAGAAGGGGCGCTTTGGACGAGTTTCATGGACCTAACTCTAGTTGCTTCAGTGTCAATGACACTGGGTCTTTTAGGACCGCTGCTTCGAATGCGCGGCGCTTTTCAAGCAGCGCCACGTGGCACCCGACAGAGAAGGTGGATTCTGCAGACGAAGGTGTGGGTTGCGGGTCGGACGAGCTCCTTGCGCCTTTGTCCTGCCTTTCAAGCGGCAAAAGGGGCGCGACACAATGCTGGTCCGCCTGACTACTACCCCCCGAGATTTAACAGGCGAGGGCGCCTGATCCCGGAGCGTGCCTTTGATTTGCAAGTATGGAAGCCCGAATATGGTTAAATTACACAAAGCTTGTAAAGTGGAAGGATAACCACAGCATCTGCGAAGCTGGTCTTGTAATCGTCTGCGAGTAAAAGAGCGCTAGTTACGGTATTAGACAAGACATAAACCTCCTTAACAATCATACTTTGTAAATTTGGTCGGCCAGGTTATGTGTATTGCCTGTGTTATGGAGGAAACTTAACGAGCTAGTCAAATATATGGTTTGAGTCGTCCCAAAGCGAAGATGATGATATTTATTCCGTGTGCCAAGACCGAGCAATTTGGTTTCTCTCGAGGTGCGGCTGGACAGCGAGGAAGTAAAGCGGAAGCTCGTTTGTAGCGACTTGTTCGCCTTGTATGATCTCTGCAACTGTGCCTGCACACGTAAACGCATGAAATATTGTTGTTTTCGTGATATTTCACAAATTTTTTTTACCGAAGCGTCGTCCAACTCTTGAAATGAGCATTTTGAGAATCTGTCAGCCCAAATTCGCCGCTCATATGTGTTAATCACGTCTAATTTGTGACAGTTAAAAAATGTGCTATAATGGAGTACCTGATCAACACCAAGAAATACCAAGAAAATCTGTTGTATTGGTTGAGATTAGATACATACTTCGTGCCTCTTTTCGGCCTCAAATAAGAATCTTTCAAGAGAATGTTCTGGCCGGAGTGCACTTTTATGTCTTCAAATATGAGGAACGCGCTTCTAGAATGGTGTTCTGCATACGGTAGGAGCTCTGTCGTGGACTACAAAACTGTCGGCCATCTTCGCTGAGCGGTAGCCTAAAGTTCAAAAATGGATGGATCAAAAAATTTGCATGAAGTGAGTGAGTTTAATTGGAGTGAAGTATGGAACCTCGGGCGAAAAGTAAGCGGTCCTGGGAATGAGCGATCCCTACCTGTTATGGGTGCTGGTGCGCATCAGAAAATATTCGGAAGCCAACCTAAAATGCAAAATTTTGTCACCAGAAAATTTTGTACCAGTTCCTCACCACTATTTGATGGAGCCTTACGAAAGGTCTTTCATCTTGTAGGCCACGCACGGGTCACTATGCAGTGCAGAAAACCTTCGAAAAAGCGTTCCATACCATGTAAGACCTCTCGTATAGGAACAGCAGCAGCGGTCTTAAGGTTTTTGGTCCAAAGAGGGCGTGGCGGAGTATGATAAGTCGCTTACCTCGAGATTATCCAGCACTAAACGTCTTGCCCTTTACATTTGCTGACTTTGAACAGTAGAATTATCACTACTTTTGGGATCAGAGTTTCCTTTATCTCAAGCGTTCCATCCATATTTCTTGTAAAAACATCCCCATATTCCCTTTGAAAGGTCCTCCGATCAACGGTCACTTGCCGGAGTGAGGCTTGAGTGCTCGTGTGACCTTCATTTTCAGTCTCATTTTTCATTGAAGTCTTTTGAATTACTACGCAATAATAATAAATATTTACTTGGTAGTCTAGTACGTGAGATGAAACGAAAAAATGAAGTGATTTTTCTGTACAGTGCCGGGACCGAATGGTAAAGGAATAATCAGAATAAATTATTTAGGGATGTACATCTGGGTCCTTGTTCTCATCCCGCAGTTATTTGCCACTACTGTGATGCAGGAAGGCTTGGGAGGAGTGGAACCCTTGACGAAAGCTCATACGGATTCAACTGACGAGGGAACGTGAGGATTCAGCTTTGCCTTTAGCGTTTATTCTGAAATTTAATTTCTTCAGCCTCTGGCGCTGATCACTTCTTAACAGATTACCCTGAAAATCTTTTTTTTTCATTCAAAAGGATGTGGATACTTTATGCATAATTCCTTTTATAAATTCCAGGAGTAGTTCTGGAAAGTGATTACTTGTAGGGCCATATGTAACGTTAGGCACCTTTTGTTATCAGGACCTCTTTGGAGTAAGAGAGGCTGATCAGACTGGGGGTTTCCACCAGCAAATAAAATCCCTTTAAAGCCGAAAGCAGAAAAGTATCTTACGATTGGGTTTTTCGTTCCATATTAAGGACTATCTTGTTGTCTTTCTTTACCATTTTACGCACAAGGCTACCTTTTTAACAAACTGTGAGTACAAATTTGCCTGCCCCAAGCGGGAGAGCAATAAATAAAGCACGTTCTGTCGCGGCATTCGGAATTGATCATACTTTAGTGACTTGCCAATGCTCTCAATTTGCAACCAAAAGCACATTATTTTATGAAAAATTTTATAACGGCCTTCTACGCTGGCGTCTCAGAAGAATCTGCTACGGAATGGTACGCTAGCAAAACTCGACGGGGTCCTCGATATAAAAAGCCTTATAATGGCCTTCTACGCCAGCGTCGTCAGTCAATCTGCTATGGATGGTACGCTAAACCGAAACGAAAACTGAACAGAGTCCTCGATGGATATGATATAAAACTCTGGCTGGAAGAGCTCCGCACATTCGGAGCTGCTTATTTTGGAAAGCGGTCCACTGGTAAACCGATTCAATAAATCAGCAATTCAAATTCGGAGCGATTACGGTAAAGTTTTAAATCACAAATCTTGTTCTGGACGCGCGTTGTGGGATTCTTCTGGGGTTCTCGTAGCATATGCTCTTCAAATCAATGCTCCTTCCATCGCAAGGGCTCTATCCTGTAACCGACGGTCGCTCACAATCGGGCAAGGGAAACATGCCACTTTGACAAAGATAATGCCAGAAAAAGGGACACCTCATGCCAAGGAGATATCCCTAGGGAATCAGTTGGCATTGCCGAATATGGAGTGATTTCAACCGGCACGTCCAAACATTCACTTCTATGTAGAATCTTCGTACATTGCGGCCTCAACTACACGTGGGCTGATGCGGAATGTCCAATTAGATAATAGTTCAATTTGCGCCATTACCCACACAAGCTCTGATTTATCGTGCCATTGATAAGATTCCAAATAACGTCGATAAGCAAGTGCAAAAGGTCATTGAATGTTTAGCAACTAGAGAAACGAAATTCTTCGCCTTTTTTTCGCTGAAGTACAGTAGGGAAGATTTAGAGTACGGTGGGAATACGGTATGCAGGGGCGGACTATAGAAAGGACACTTTTCGATTAAATTGATTAAACATGCTCTTTCTTGGTTGCCCCCCCCCCCTCCTGCCCGCCTTTTCTGGAGAGAAGTGGGAAAACTTAAAGGGGGATGGGTCGACTCGACAGAGAAACTCCATGGTTGTAGGTAGGGGCGGTAGTAGTGCCTTGTATTCATGAGTGAGCTCCCCTCTGGTCCCCCCACTTACGGGTTCGGGTAGAGGGTCGCTCGATCGGTCGATCTCCTAAAGGGGCTCACTTACCACTTCATGCTTAGATGCCGGTCAGACTCTCGATTGCATCGCGCGATGCAGTCACTCTTGCAATGTGCACAAGCGACGGGCGATTGGCCCCGCCCACATCGATGCAGTCGACGTCGGTATCGATAGCGGCGGGCCATTGCCCGCCGCTTGCATTTTGGCAAAGGACTGCATCGCACGATGCAATCGCAGAGTCTGACCGACATCTTACTTCTTGACCGCTATTTGGCGGACGCGATTGCCTGACGAGCCAGTGAATCAGCTTGCCACACAGAGTGGGTTTTTCGAAACTCGAAAGTGAGTGCAAAACATGGGTAAAATGCTGAATGGGAAAGGTGCTTTCGGCGTAGACACGCGCTACTTCTTTGCAATCTCTCAGCGAAATACTGGTTATAACATCAGTGCAATATGAGGAATACGTGAATGTGGATGAGTATGCAGTTCGGAGGATGGGGACACAGATGGTCGGACGATCTGAATGGCATGTGTCGAAAACTGGAACGTGCATGTTCACAATATCTCTTCGGATAAATGACTTCTATCTGAAAGGGGTTGAGGCACTGCTGAACCTTGAGCACGAATACTTTTGAAGTCAGTCTCCCCATGTGACAGGTGTTGAAGAAATAGCCGATCTTTAAAAATTAATCCATAGGAGAAGGTGTTTAGAATGTTGCGCAACTATGCCTTGAGAACAAGGACCCTTCTTCGGCCTCAAAAAAAAACAACAAAAGGGGAAACATGCGCTGTTGTAAATATAGGAAACTCTTTTATCGAGTGCCTTAAAAACCCATATCATGTCGTACCCCACCTTATTATTTCGTCAATCCCCGGAGCTCATCAGTGCGTTGGGGTTGGCGAAATAGAGACACAGGGGAAGACGAATAAAGCTTGAGCTGACTTGCAAACTTCTCATGCAGAGGAGAATGCAATGAAATTAATAGTATATTGATTAAAGTGAATATAAATTGATATTAATATGCAAAAAAAATTTGTAAATTAAAGGGTGGAAAATATATCGGCTTACCCTCGAAGTCTGTTATTGCGCAGGTCAAATTACTTTTCAAAATCGCAATGATTCCGTATGCAAGTCGAAAGCGTGATGCATTCGAAAACGGGACTGTGAACCTTTGAACCTTTAACCCTTCATTTATTATTCATGCAGACGAACATTATTTCGTTTTTCAGGCTCTACCGCGGAAAGAACGTTTGTGGCGTGCAGGAAATGGTCACGTCAGCTATTGTTCTATAGTCCTTTGTTCAGTTTTACAATACCATTCAAGACAACATGCTAATCGTTCCAGAATTCGATTTAGTATCAATTTAATTCAAAATGTGAAGCTCTGCCTCACCACCGTCAATATGGATTCTTGATGCCATAAAAATAAATATTCGTTACTGATCGTTAACTGTTCTCAATGTTTTTTTGGAAGCAGTGTCAACCATCTGTTGGTGTTGGGTTACCAACAGTGGGAGATCACACGTATGTATATCCAGAAACGTTCGCTCGTTCCTCTCCCGCTCGCGCGCGCTCTTTCAAGCCGATGTCGCGCTGGAGCGAGCATTCTTAGTGCCTACCTGATGTGCTGCTAACCAAAGCACTATAACTCGAGCCTGGAGCTCTGGTCAGCGTTAAAGAGGCAAACATCTTGATGTTGAGAACCTGAGACTCATGCGAGAGCACATGTTTACGGCTACTCGATCTTCAAAGTCAGATAAATCGTCGCAATCACTCCGTGAGACTTATAGACCATTACGAGAATCCCATTTCATGGTACAGCGCACAAAAAAGATAAGGACTGGAACTATAAACCGCCAACTTCTTCCTTCGCCACGTTTTTGACGATCAACTTTCCTGGCTCATCATATTCTTAACTCGATTATTTCCAATGTTCTTGGAAGCTGTCGCTTAATTTGACCTTTTTCTATTTCCACTTTGCAACCCACCAAATATGAGTTCACCCACCGATTGCGCATTTCTTGGAGCTATGGCAGGATACACGGAGTAACCTCGTTAGAACTAAGCTAGGATTTTTGGGGAAAATGAAAATCACTCACGCAGCCCGAATCCCATCCGCCTTACCCTGTGTTCAGAAAAAGATTTTGGCGCGATGTGCCTCCAGGGTTGAGGCAGTCCGTGAAAGGTCCATAAGGACTGATGGCGAGCCTGAAGGAGATAGACGAATTCCGGAGAGATGAGAACTGCTGACGCACCTCGGACTCCCTCGTATCCCGAGCTTAGTCCTGAAACGGAGCGCTTCCGTGGATCTAACGTGGGCTGCACATCCCTCACCGCCCGAGTCTCATTGCATTTCTTACGTGTTTTGAGCGCTCAGCGCCCCAGTATCTTGCGATAGCGCCCACTTTGTCATCATGTATTACATCGAGCAAAAACCGTAGCTATCCTTCTATAACTTTTCGTTGTTAACTTTTTGTTACTCATCAACGTTTGAGGTAGATGCGTACGTGGGCGAATACCCGAGCGGTAGGAACGCTCGCCCCAGTGCGATATCGTTTTGAAGTGAGCGTTTCGGTATACACGTCCGATCACAATGGACTACTATTAGGCACGCATAGATAAAATAGAAGAGAGGGGTTAGTTTAGTTCACGGGTTTGGGGCAAGACATGCGATTGTATCCTTATTAGTAGAGGACTGGAAGGCTTCACAGAACTAACGTGGAGAAAATCAAACGTTTCTCAAAAATTCGATAGCCTTTTCATTTTGTGTCTCATCATGGTGCGCGCTTTATGTCGCGGGTGATAGACGCAGCTCAATTGGGAGGAAGCGATATGACAGTGGACCACCGGTGGGCAAGAGAATTCCGACAAAAGAATTTTTCTCAACCACTGACCTTCCCCATGGAGTTTCTCTTTGTTGTAGAACACAACCCTTGCTCCTTTCCAAGAAACTCACCTATATGAGAAAAATTACAATGTTCAGGGAAGGTATGACCAATAGGATCCCAAAAATCCGTCTCTTCCAGAGAAATACTACGCAAATGTCTACAAAATATCACCAATGTGATCACACACCTACGTTGTGAATTTTGTAGCGTAACTTGGCATTTTTTCAAAGCTCCGATCATTTAATCACGCTAGCTTTGGATTCCCAAAATATCAGTTTGGAAAAGCTACGGTCGTTGGAAGTCGGAAATTTCTGAAAAAAAAAACTTGCACACACCGAGATCTTACCAGCTGGACCAGTCATTTTACAATTAGTTTTCCAGCTGGAATTTGCAACTAATTCTGAAGGTGTCTAATGAAGGGCATTTTTACCTGAAAAATCTTGAAGAAGATTATGAGCGGTTGAAAGTTGAGGAACCGCATGAGCGCGAAAAACTCGAAATCGGAATTGTTGTTTTGAGGACGGAAGTAACGTTTACATGAGATCACGCTTCTAAGTTGTTAGCTTGATGGTGTTGGGGTTCGTTCCTCCAAGTAGTGCCACTGGGAACTGCTAGCTGAACGCGGACATTTGTGCACGCAACAGGCCCTCGTGACAGGCCGGTTCACGAGACGACGGAACGAACAGGCGAACTGACTTCTGTGCTGTGCAGGAGACTAGGTGGGACTGCGCCAAATCGAAGGACATTTGCCGTGGCTTCAAAGCCATCCTTTGTGGCAGTCCCAAAACAACTAGCGGCGTCGGTGTAATCGTATCTGTACGTTTACGTGACTCGATTGTCAGCGTTGAGCGTCGCGATTACTGCTTGGTGAAAATCGTTGCCGCTTTGAATCACCGTCAATAACATTTTTCCTCTGCGTATAATCCAGGGACAGGCTGCTCCGATCCCGCCAAGGATGAGTTCTGGGTACTGCTAGATGACAAATTAGCTGACGTACCATCACAGGATGCCATAATTGTCGCCGGTGACCTCAATGGTCACGTCGGGGCTACGAAAGATGCTCACAGCTGACATGGCTATTTGGGTATAGGTCACGAAACCCCGATTGCGAGAGAATTTTTGAGTATGCAAACTTGCACAATCTCACCATCGTGAACACACAGTATCGCGAAAGTGACTCCCTCACACGTTTTACAGTGGAGATTCCAGAACGTAAATTGACTTTGTCCTCGTCAGGCAGCGTGATTGAAGGCCTGTCACGGACACGAAGATAGTGCCGCACGAGACGGTCGCCAAGCAACATCGACTGCTGGTCTGCTCCCTAAGGAACGCATCCTTAAAATTAATGCGAGCCAAACGATGTGGAACTAAAAGGATAAAGTGGTGGTGAGTGAAGGAAATGGGACGCGTCCTGTTCTCTCGCATTCGGCTACTGACATTAGCGTCTGTCGACGAAACGTGGGAACGCGCTACCGAGCGATAGCTCGTTCTGAACTTGGCACTACAAAGCCTGGGCTGCGAAAAGTCGACAAGCAGACATATCCATGGACTGACAATGTCACGAGAGAACACAATTCATCATATTTCCTCAGCGACAAACTGAGAACTGGGAGAGCTACCAGGAGGCAAGAAAGCCACAAAGAATGCCGCGGCTGTCGTTGAAGCTGCTCACTTTGCCAGCGTTAGCGAAAAACTTGAAATGCGCGAAAGCGAACGATACCTTAACAGACTAAACAAAGCTCGACATCGCCAAACCGAGAATATCGAAAAGTTAGAATAAAAGCATTAGCCGAGTACGGCCGGCTCCCATTGGATCGCGAGAGGGCAGTAAAGCGATGGCACGACTACTTCGAGAAAATGTCGACAGCACAATTTTCTCATCCGATAATCCCTTCCGCTCCTCCGGTTTACGGTCCTGTCTCGACGTTGCGGAAAAGAAATGCCTGAGAGTTGGCACGACGGTTACCATCTGGAAGAAGAAGGGCAGCCCCGCTGACTGCACAAGCCACCGTCCACTTCGTCTGCTTTCCCACACCATGAAGATATTTGAGCGAATTATAGATCGTCGTATTAGCGACATAGTGCGGCGGACCACAAAATAGTGTAGATTTGTAAACGGCTGCGGTACCAGTGATGCAACACATGCCGCTCCTCTTCTGCTGAAAAATACCGCCAGAAACGGGAGCCTTTCCATTCCGCCTCACTATACTTGGAAAAAGTTTTTGAAAAGCGATCGCGCTCCGCGTGACGTAATATGGTACGCTTTGAGATGACGTGGCTTTCCCAGAACTTTCCAAGAACTTATTTAGTGGGTGCATGCTATTCTCGAGTCCAAAGAGCCGAATGCAAACGTCAGCAAGCACCTCGATGGAATTCCCAATATGGAGTACAATGTGTGAACGCATCAAACAGCCCAGGTGGTAAACCTATAGAACACAAGGATCTTCGGCGATTGGTTGTCGATCGCACAGTTAACCAAATGCAACACTCTCTGCAAGTACTCTTTACCAACCTTGTGGCAAATATGGAGTATGTAACAGCGCATGCACTGCAGCACTTAGTGTTCCCACACCCTTCTAAAAACCGTGTTCTGTTTTTTAAAGTTTCGCCATGGATCGGTGGCTTTACCCATCAGCTGGTTTACCCATAATATCCTACTATATATAATTCGCTAAGTATGTCTGTGTGTGTAGGTCTGTGTGTGTGTTTGTCACGAAATTCACCTCTCGATCACAGTAACGAAAGAGGGTTCTTACATTTGGATGGGGACACAAGTGGTATGTGAAAGGAACTGATAACGACTGATAATAGCTGATAAGAGGGGCCAGAAAGCGAGCATCGCCAATTTCGTTTTGTCATTCAAATTGGTACTAGAGCATCTATACCTATAAGTGTTATGTGGGGTGGTCCCGGAACATTGGTGGTGCATGAATAAAAGCGATAGCAACTGATAAGGGCTGATAAGATCCGTTACGCGAAAGTCGTCGACTACGTTACCTGGCTCGCGTTAACATCAGAGCAGCCATACTTACAAGTGTCATTTAGGGTGGGACGGGGACATTGCTGGTGGGTGATTGAAAGTGATTGCAACTGATATGGGCTGATAAGGTGTGTCAGAGTGCAAAAGTCGTCAATTCCGTTACGCAGCTTGCGTAGACATTGTTAGAGCGTCCCTACTTACAAACAGGGCCAACCCTGCGTTGCGCAAATTCCCAAAGTTACACCCTCTTCGGAGGGTATCGGTACGACCCCCCATCAGGGTCAACCCTGCGTTGCGCAAAGAACAACGAGGGGGTTGTATTCAGCCGACCGAAAAAGGAGGGGGTCGTATCCACAGACGGGCAAGACGGCTTGAAAAGTGCAGTGTCCGGGAGTGCACTTTCAGCCTAATGTTCTCCAGGAGCTCTGCACGCTGTCGGAGAGTCACACAGACATGAGCTTCATGGGAGCATTGAAGCATGCAGAGCACTATAAGTCTTACCATCAGCTTATTATCCTTAAGCGACGCTATCCGGACTGCGCTTTTGCTCCGCGGCATAGATCAAGAGTACGCTAGACAACAGCCAAAAACTTTGTTACAGTGTAATGCAAAAACATGGTCTGTCATCGATGATGAAACATTCCTGAAATCCCGAGGAGAACAAAGTGTAGAGTAGTTCATGGGAAAGTGAAACAAGAGTACCATATAACAGCACAATACCTCAAACAGGATACTAACACCTTCTTCAGGAAAACAGAAGACTTTCAAATGCGAGTGCGAATTCTGCCCACAGATAGGTGCACGGCGTATACCCGAGCAGGCGCTTTCCATAAAAACGCCTCCTCTGTCAGCGGCCGTAAGCGGACAAACTTTATGAAGAGGGTTTCGATGCTTTCAAATAAAATCTAAGCGAAACAAAGTGCAGCGAATTTGTTGAATTGAGTTCTAGAGACGCCGTAGGAAAATTGAGGCAGAAGAAGGAATTTCAGGGAAATTTCACAGTTGTTATAAAGTACTCTTCGATGGATTCCAACAATCTTTACCGCCTCTCATCACATTAATTTCAAAGGAAGGTATGGACCTTTGAAGACTGCATAGTCGCGGTCCAGGAAAAAGAAAAAAATCAAGGTGGAATTGACGGAACAACGGGACTATTTTTTGAGAGAGTGATTATATCAAGCACTTTCATTTCAAGCACAGCAGTTTCAGCACTTATTCGAAAGCTCTAATCTTCTAGTTTCTAATTAGCCTTAAACATTTGCAAAAGGTTGATTATGAAGAAAGTTATGAATGTTTGAATGTCAAAAACTCGCGTGTGCACAGAAAACGGAACAACGGGAGATTTTGTGAAATACTGAACATCCACAACATTTTAAATACTCCTCAGGAAGAAAACTGTTTATATTTTCAAAATTTTGGTGTTCGATTTCATGAAACAGCTTCTGAAAGAAAATATAACCTTCTGAATGGAGGGGTTTGGATCGCAATGTAATTTCTACAAGGTTTAGTTTTCCAGATTATAAGGTAAGGAAAGTTGAGAGATCGAAAAAATCCTGGTGAGTTTCGAAAGTAGAAATCTTTACGATTAAAACGATGTATTGGTTTACGCAAAATTCCTTCTATTTAATGAATAAAACTTCATTTGCCTCGATTTCCTCCTCTGACCGAGACAGAGCCCGCGGATTGACAACGGTCCACCACTTCTCCATGTTGGTGACTGCCATCATTGATGAGCATTCATGAGCATTAAATTATGAGGAAGAAATGATAGTTAATATGGGGGTCGTACCGATACCAACGAAAAGGAAGGGGGTCGTAAAAATTTGGGAATTTGCGCTACGCAGGGCTGACCCTGGGTATAGGTCACGAAATCCCGAATGCGAGAGAATTTTTGAGTATACAAACTCGCACAATCTCATCATCGTGAACACCAACTATCGCGAAAGTAACTCCCACCTCATCACGTTTTACAGTGACCAGACGCACTGACTTTGCCCTCGTCAGGCAGCGTGATCGAAGGCTTGTCACGAACACGAAGACAGTGCCGTACGAGACTGGCAACTGCATGGAATTCCATTGAACCTAGTCATTGCAGAAAAAGTTTGAGATGCCATGTTTTATCATTCTTGTCTCTGCTTGAGTTCACTTTGAAGTTCTTTCCGCTAGACCGATTTCAACACAACTGTTGGTCGAAGTTGCTTTGCACAGCTTTGTCCGCCACGAACGAGTGAACGCCCTAGCAGTTTCAAACGTGACCGAGAGAAATTGCGGCTGTGACTGCGAAGGATTGATGCTAACAATGAGACGGTGAAGCTTTATTCAAAGAAAGGATCAATTTTAACGCCACACATTTAGCAGTCACATTGATCGACAAGGTTCCGAAACTACATGTATTTGTAGTTCATATTATCCCTGAAATGCGGAAGGGTACACATCTTTCGAGTTGGCCGTAATACATGCACTTACCGGAACGTATTGAATTTACATTTTAGAACTACATAGGGTGAGTCGTTTCCCCCAGTTTGCAGCTCAACTGCACATCCAACTTGTGTAGCTCTGGGATACCACAGCTGAAATTATAGAAAATGTTAAGAATTTTCAAAACGTTTTCAGGGAGCTTTCAGCGCTGGTAGCGTTTCGAAGGAATCTGAGCCGAACTATCACCAACATCCTTGTATGGTACATTTGCAACGGCAGTCTTCAACGATTCATCCCAAGTCGTGAATGGGCTGTAAAAATCAAAGTGACAACATTCATGAAGTAGGTTTGGTCATTCGGAATATTCTCGCTTTTTCCTCTTTCACCTTCTTTTACAATGGAAACAACATAAAATCACCTTGTTATTGTGAATCCGTCATGGGGCAGTCCTAGTATACTGCTAATTCCCGTGAAGGCTTCTGTTGCAAGCGCACAACTATACGTCTGTAAGCAATGGCAATTACTACAAAAGCGTGGATTTGACTGAATGTAAAAACCTTAGACGTATGTTTATTCAGCGAGTAACGCACAGAAGGCTTGTTTAGTGACGCATTGAATCCGTATACACTAGAAACAAGCGTTCTGCGCTTTCGGCAGCGTTGTAATTCCTCTAGATCTCAATAGTGTCAGCCTTCCCACTGCCACTTGTATGTTGCAATAACTTTCCGCCACGTGTTTCAGGCGACTAGAATCATACAAAGGATATTACATGATTCTTAACACAATGTGTCGCGGTAAGAACGCACCACCAGCAATGAATTGTACAGCGCGCGAGAGTATGATGGGCATGACTAGAAGCAAGAGAAAGTTATTGGCGTTGAAACAGGTGCAAAATTTGCTGATATCGTAGAACTGGCCACGGAAGCTTCGTCTGGAAGCAGGTCGAGTCGGTCGAGCGTGCAGTCTTTTTCACAACATGGTACGCCGCTGAATTAATGTAATGGAAAAAGGGCACCAACTGTGAAATTTCGGCAGAAAAACATCCTTCTAGTTCCTCTCTTGTGTTAACTCCAGTACCTGATAGAAACTGCTAATGAATTTACGTGGATTCGCCTTCTGCTCACGCGACGTGCAAATCTGCCATATTTTCCTTGATCGCCAGTGTTGCATCTCGGTGCCATACGCAGTGAAAAGTGTAACTTATTCGCCCGCATATTTTTTCCTAAATGTTGCTATGGGCCCTGTTACAGAGCATTTATGTGAGCGTCAAATGAGTCCAGAAATCCAAATACGTGAAGAACTGCGAGGGTGTGCCATCTTTTAAGCGACCATACGATCAACAGAGTTCTATGAAAATCAGCAACATCATTGAAACCCTGGTACGGGGAGCTTCCGAACAGCGATGTTTCAGCACACCAAAACCCTGGATTTTAGAATTTGAATTTCATTTTTTCATTGAAATGAATGAATTTTATTTCATTCTTCACCATGAAAATTTTCCCATAAATTTTAGCGTATTTTTCTACCCAAGAATCACTGGAATCAGAGTAAAAGCGTTCTCCTAATTATAACGTATGCTTACGCTCCATTCTCTGTCATACTGGGATGAGAGCTTGTCTCGAATTTTAAGTTGACCGTTAAGAGGACAAATGATACTCTAATGATACTCTAGTGTGTTAGCAAATATGAAATCAAATCACTTACTAGGTTCGGAAGGTTTGCTATATATGGAATGGGTTCGCGCCTAAGGTCTATTGCTTCCAACAACACTTGTTGGCGATTCTTAGGGATGTTCTCGTTGCAGTCATAACCTAAAAAGCACGAATAAAGTAATAGGTTTGTCACCTTGATTGAGCAAGAACGGAGCAAACCTAAGACTTGTCCTTTGGCGAGTAAGAGGATGAAGCATACCTGAAAACACAACCACACAAATACAAACTTTAGCTGTTTCTTCTTTGAATTTTTGTCCACAGTACAACAGCCTACTAATTCATCTTCCAACTACGCTTTGGCTTTACTGATATGTAGTAAATACATGGTAGCTTGTAACACTGCGAATGATGAGATCCGCTTGTGAAGTAATCGGATCTGTTCCACTCGTAGGAAACTGTGACAAATCTTACCAATGACGGGGTGTACATATTCATCCCGAGCAAGAAACGATTTCACTTGATGGGTGATTTGGCGCAGTTCAGGTCAAGAGACACTTTTATACTGGACTGCTCATGTAAGTGCGAACCAATTACAGGGAATAAGTAAAAGCTAGACATAGTGAATAGCACGCTTTTTGTGCCTTTTTCTGTGGTCCTGGTGAACGTTGCGTTCAACGTTCACCAGGACCACAGAAAACAAACCGAAAACACGTTCAAAATTAATAACTTATCAGTTTCGATATCTCTTTTGTGTCGCAGCTAGGATTTACAGTAATCCGTCATAGATTAATATTGAGTTGGCCACTATTCTACTTTCTTCATGTAGCGGCAAACAGCACAAAATATACCGAACGAGGCCCTCACCATGACTGAGTACTTTATTTTGTCAAATTTGTGCAAAATGGCAAATACGCGACATTTCTTCTAGGTGCAAAGTTGGGCTCGGTTTCACTGATGAGGTCTCTCCCCGTCATGGAGGTGCTAGAGCGGTAAGTGTTGAAGTTGCGACTACGCAGCACTTCGGATCGTTTCACTAAGCCGCCAGGTATCTATGATTATCCGCCGGCGCCCGGCCAGAAACCGTAGCCGCTTACCGTTCGTTATATTCTCTGTGTCGTAGTGGTTGATCAGCTGTGCTCTATCGACTTAATGTTGTGCCGCCTGCTCTCGACAGTCTCTTCTTTTGCTGTGTGCCTCTTAGACTTTTCTGCAGGCTTGAAATTTCTGAATTTTTTACGATGTTTCTTCTTTCCTTCACCACTTGTGGCCATCTCTAATTCCGTATTCAAGTGGAATTACCACATTCGATTGACCCTGGCCCTTGTCTTCCAGAAGCGCTTAACGATTGTGCGAATTCCTCCGCTACTCGTTATTTTTATCACGAGCTTCCAATCGGTCTTTCTAAGAGAAGAACTTCTAAGGAACAAAGGGTGAGCAAGGAATGTCCATATAACACATAACGCAAAAGTAAAGAAAACAAGGCTGGGTCAGTATAAAGTGACGAAACACCAGCAGCGCACAAGAGGAAAAAAACCAATTGACTCATCCTTAGCCCAGTAAGCTGTGTAATACATTTGGTAATCCTGCGCCAGCCGTGATGTGCACTATTACGGCTCCCAAAGAAATCAACACTTATTAAGGAGGAGGAGGGGTTCGTTCCAGAAGTCGGACTCGTTTCATTCGTTTTAGCGTTTCAAAGGGACACGTGCAGAACCAAGACAATGTGCAAATTCTCTGAGCGACCGTAAGATTTAAGGGCGAGCAAGAGTTGAGAGTGCATCTCATGCAGCTAGAGGTGTTGCCCACCATTCGAAGTAGTGATCAAATGCGCATAGAAATTCTCCGTGAAGTGTACAACGAGAGTTACGCAAAATGTGGATTACAAAACGCTTTGTGAAACCCATAATGAAAGAAAAATATCCTACACTCACCTGATCGTCAGTAACGGCGGCGATCGGACGGTAAAGTGGATGGTAAGGCGTATCTGGAAACTCAAGGTCTTCTATTTCGACTTATTTTCCTATTTCCAGTTTTTTGTGCTCAGGGACTGCAAATGCTGATATATGATGGTGTATTCGGAAGAAAATGTTATACCGCAGTTCTCTTCTCATCCTTTTCAGAGAAGGAGTTCTGCTTGATAGTTTGAAGTCTCTAGTGACTAGAAAAATAACTAACAGCTAGTAGGATTCGACGACTTCCGCATCAACACGTTAAGGCATGATCCAAGAAATTTGACATCTATTCATCAACCACCTACACAGACGCTCCGTAAAAGTGGAAGAGAGTTGGAGAATACTGGTGAGCAGTCTGGATGAAGACCCACCCAGGAATTGAACAGTGCCGAGCCTTGTAATTATTCCAAAAGGTAGTCGCTGATCATTCGTGGCACATTTGAATATCGTATATCTCAAGGTACACAAATTCTCTAACCTCAACTATTTTACGCTCCTTTCACGAAATTTTCCCCATAATCGTAGCCGCCAAAAATGGTCCTCTATCCCGCAAACATCACTCTATTGGCTTCCACAAATACGGACCTTTCAACATTCGCCAACCCTCTGAATCACCTCTCTCGATGGAATTATGCCAATGTTCGGATGACCGTAGTTCAGAGTAAGAGTAAGACAATGTTGAGAAATTTTCGGAAAAATTCACGTATCCCTCAGGAGCGAGCATATAAACTCGTGACTAGGTAATTATTGTGACTTCTAATCATAGCGATAGCTTACAACAGCGACAGCTGTAAACAGGGAGGCCTTTTCTCTGGAAGAAGATATACTGTCAAAGAACAAATTATATCTGACCTTGGAATAAGACAGGCGATTTGTTTTGTGTGTCTATTTAATGGTGCAAACTATTTTTCATTCTTTCTTGAAACCCGGCGTGCATAATGGAGGAACTGAGAAAGAAGCCCACCGCTCACAGAAATAGGGCACACTGCATTGTTCAGCAGCTTAATTAACTTGTGGTTGTGATGACACCACCATATATAATAATATGTACGACGTTCTCTTGGTGCACTTGCAGTTATTCCAGAAAGTGGTCGAATCTCGAATGGAACTGATCGCCTGTAGTCGATTATCACAAAAGGGAAGCTTGAGTGTATCGGCGGAGGATAAAAAATCCCTCCTATATGTAAAAAGCTATGAATGTCTGTTTGTGTGTGTGTCACGAAATCCATAGCGCGCTTCACGGAGCGCTGCATTTTGAACATGATTTAGCGGACGGAACGAACATATTTCGTCGGGGACCGAGAATGACGACTGCCGATAAGGGCTGATAATAGCGCGCCAGGAAGCAAATGACACGAAATTCAAGGCACGTGTTCTAGCGGCAGTGACGCGTTGGTTCCAAAAAGTGAGTTAGAGAGTGGGACGGGAACATATCTGATGGGGGACCGAAAGTGATAACAGCTGATAAACGCTTATAAGGGGCGGCAGAAATCTAATTTCACGAAATTTATGGCGCGAGTTCCAACACCAGTGAAGCATGACTCCAACAAAAGATGAAGACGGTGGGAAAAATCATATTCTCTGGAGGAGCCGAAAAAGATTGCAGCCGTTGAAAGCTGATAGGAATGCTCAGCGGAAAAACGTGGAGATCACTGCAATTAAGAATCTGGATAAGAACCACAACACATGTCATTTTTATTTTATCTGGGTTGTCATCATTAGCATTGAACTCCATACGACCGCTACTCTACCCCGAGTTCTTCACAGGAAATCTGAAGGAGTATGATAGTAATCAGAAGGTATTTCTATTTTGACCATTTCCGAAGCGCCTGACACCCATGGAATGTCAGGCTCAATTTGCTCCCTGTGGTCGCCTGACACCCATGGGGTGTCGGAGCTTTTTCCAAGGATTCGGTTTTTCGACAAAGTGTTTCATGTTGTCAAATATCTATGTAACATACGCATGTCTTGTGTGATTTCTTTCTAATTCCTTGAATATACACAAAATTAAGTGGATTTCCACTTCGAGCTAAGGGAAAACAGTTATAAATCATTCGAAAGCTCTTCATACACCAGAATTTATGCCATCACGTGCACGTCGTAGGCGATGCTATTAAATCAAAACGTTTTGGAGCTTTCTGGTCTCTTTTTTCCCATTACAGCTTATTTTGAACAATTTTCATTCCTGCCGTCCTTTTCATGTTCCCATTATGTTTTTTATACAGCTGTTTTTATTCAAATTCATCGCATGGACAATCCTACACATGACAAACACAAAAACGGGATAAAATGATGGTGTTGATAGAACTAAAGGCAGATATGATTGAAAAAAAAAAAAATAATATATATATATATATATATTATATATTATATATATAATATATAGATTATAATATATAATACTATATATAATATATATTATATATATAATATATATTATATATATAATTATAATATAATATAATATTATATATATATATATTATATATATATATATATATATATGATATGATATATAATATATATATATATATATATATATAATATATTATATTGTCCGCGCGGCGGTAGGCATAAAAAGGCGCCGGCCACACGCGCCGTCACGAAAAAAGTGCGCGGTCCGGAAATGATTAACATCATTAGCATCAGATATTATCCAACCGCCAAATTATCCTGACACGGGACGCAGGCGGTTACTTACAAGCACTACTTTAGTTCTGCATTCCACTGAGCGTGTCACGGTGAACTTGAGCGAAAATGGAGCAGCTCATAGAGCGGTCAGCTGAGCCATTCTACAAAGCAACCTGTTGTCAACCGTTATTCAAACACGCGGTAGCGTACCAAGCTGGACTGTTAAAAGGATAGAGCATATGCCGTTGATCAATCCTTTTTTGGGCTCTGACACGCATACTTTTTCTATTTGTACATTCGTATTGTTGTTAGCGATCTGGCTTATACAATGACTTGCAGGGGTCAGTCGATGTGTAAGTCGCTGTTTTTATTATCTCAGTGAAGCCCAGTACAAATTAAACGAACCCGGAAATCGAAGGCTTGGTTGGCTCGGACGACGGAAGCTATCATTCCAAGTTTACGGGTGCGAGGTGAGGCAGCCGTACTTGCAAAATATCCTAAGTTCTACGTGGCCAAAGGAGCCAAAACGCATTTTCCCCTTATTAATCGGTAACTTTTTGAAGATTTTGTTAGTGCCGATGCATACATCGGTTTCATATCCGACAATGCATTTGATCAGATTGCAGCGTGAGAAGTGCGTTATAGCGGAGTGAAACAAGTCTAGTACACATTGTTAAGAATGGTGTTAAGAAAAATTTCAAGTTAGACCACCCCCTCCTCAGTAAAAAGATTGCCATGCGCAACCTTTCGTGCTCACAGACTGCACATGAGGACACGTTTAGTGTTGCAACGTCTACAGTGAACTCCTTTAGACGATTTCTATGTCTATTCCAAGAGCAGAAGTTGATAAGCGGGTCTGTTTCCGAACTGGTTGCCCTTAAAATGAAATAGAATCAAAATAACTCCTCGCTG